CAAAAATTGAATAATAGTGGTAACTTGTTTGTGAAAATGACAATGCTTGGTATAGGTAACTTTTAAAATTTAACAAGTAATTGAAATTTCTGAAAACTAAACCATATCTGAGAAGTAGATTTTGAAGAAACAACTAATTAAAGATAAGTTATCTACTATGATTTTTTTTTTATATCAACTTTAGTTTGTCATTTTCAAATAAAATAAAAAGACTTCATGTCTTAATTGGACTTAAAAAAATCATAATTATAAATATTTTCTTCTAGATATAATGTCATTTGCAAGAAAACTTGGTAGTATTCTATATAAGCATACAAAATAATTTATGATCGAGCCTTTGCAGTTCACATCCAGTAAAGTATAATTTAGGTTAATCTGATTGTAATATAAATTAGTTCCATACAAAACTACATATTGGTTTCAAAGGTTGCCCCCATGTGGTGGATTTATTTGTAAAATTTATTCGTAATTATATATGTACTAATACAATACGCATGTATTACACGAAAGTTTGTTTATAAATTTATATTTAAAATTAAAAATAATAATAATAAATTATTTTAATTTTGAAATAATTATTTGAATAACTATTTACTACTTATATTTAAAATAACACTCACCACTTAAACGGCTTACCATCTTATATTAATTTTTTTGTAAATTATATCATTTAACAGCTTTGTAGTTAACTTAATTTAAATAATTTTATTTATTTAATTAATATTACTAGGTACTTTAATTCTTATTATAAAGATAAATATAGTTATTTATTTATTTTATATGTGTCATATCGAAGCTCATCAAGACATAATTAATTTGATATAATATGTATAAAAAATTGATAATAAATAAAATAAATTATTAACTTCTAAATCTACTTATCATTTAAGTTAAGTTTTTTCATAATCTAAAAAGAAAGATGAGGAAAAAAGAAAGATTGAGGAAAAAAAAAATATGCCCTATAAATTAAGTCTAGAATAGGAAATGTAACATAATTAATGATCTTAAAAAGAACCATAAATATCTAGTATATTTATGGCTATTCCAAACCTAATTTTTTTTTGGATTGAGAGTAATTAAAATCTATCCAAGTCAAATCACAAAGCATAAAAACTTACCACATAGGATTTCGAACCATATGAGTTTACCACTTAGCTCAACATACTCAAGAATTATATATAGATAGATTATTTAAACCATATACTTCTTCACTTTTTATTATATATTTCAACAGATTCACATCAACGACGACCGTCACACCAAATGCCACAAGAGATGAAATTACGCAACCCTTTTTTGTTGAGATGGGAAACAAATTACAATTGTCAAGATTAAATTCGAGCCAATTAGGCAAAATGGATGGGCAAGAAGAAATTGGTCAACTTAATATGGAGTATTTTAGCAGTTGGTTCAACAATATTGGAAGCGGGACAAGAATTGATAATCACGAAGGTTGTTCCCAGTCAGAGTCTCCATTTTATATTCCTCAACAAAAAGAACTTCACCAAGAGACACAATTTGATAATTTTCTTGCACAGGTAAACATAATTATATAAAATAAACGTATTGTCTAACAATTGTGAAATCCATAAATGGCACTCTGCACAACCTATTATAATACAAACAAATAAAATTTAAAAAAAAAAAGAATATTTTGAGTTATTAATCAAATTTCTTTGTTTTTCTTGGTTTAATTAATTATCAGGATATTACTCTTGGAGACAACATGATCAATCCATCTAAGGAACATAAGAGTGGTTCATGGGAGTGGGAAGATTTGCTTCTTGAAGAGCATTTGAACTTACAAGATTTTTCCTAAGCAATAAACCTATTATATGATCGATATACAGGATGGTGGCAAACAAACGACTATTGCAATGCCGTAGGAAATAAACGAGAAAATCAAATTTCTTAAAGTTTTTATTTGGATATATATTCTTTAGTATTCAAAGACTACTAAGTATATTTGCTTCTTTTATTTCAATGAAGTATGACTATATCATCCAGTATTAATTAAATAGTAACATACTCTGTAGCTCTACTGCCCCAAGCTCAATTGCACACAATATTTTGTAGGATGTGCAGAATTTTGCATTAAATTGACTGACGTTGAGAATTTTTTCACAATGCAACTTTTCAGGGTTAGTATATGTCCATTTCAAATTGAATGTTTTGATTTTATTTCTCTTCATGTTTTACTATGGATAGTTGCATCATTTCTGACAACTTTTTGAACTATTCTGAAGTATCAATTTAAATTTTTATTATATTCTCTGGTGTTGAGAGTTGAGACAATGCAAAGATGATTAGGTGGTCTTTGATTTATCAATTGTTAAGGCTTGAATTAGTATGTTGCTTGATCAGATCATCATTTTAGTCGTGTTGATAAGAACAAAATAAGAGAAGAGAGATATCCCTAGGACAAGAAAAATCTGGGAAGAACGGGAATAAGTACAACAAAAGAGGAGAGAGATATAATGTGAAATAAGAGTTAGCATGGTGACTCATGAGATTAACAATGAATTTTAGTCGTGTCTTGTGTCACGCGGATTGAACATGTCAGATAGTAGTCTAAAAGGTGGGAACGGGACTAGGGAAGGAGCATTTTTTATTTTCAATACCGCTATAGTGATAGGTCAAAAAATGTACACGTTTTATATATTTAATAGGTATTTTTTATACACTAAATTTATTTGCACATTTACATTTTTTTGATTTATTTATTATTTAGATAGATTCATACATTGATATGTTTATATTTATTTTCAGCTTATTGGAATATTTTGTGTACGTGAAGCATTGGACGAAAATTTACGCGATCAATCAAATATCAAGCGCCCAATACCCATCAGTTGAGGCCCAAGAATGGAAATTACATGGCCCAATAGATTCTATTACATGGGCAATGATGGGCTGATTTATATAGTATTATTAAAGGGTCCATGGCAATTTAAATAAAAAGTGAGTCTCACTTTGGAGAGGAATTTGAATAGCTAAGGGAACTTGGAATTAATTTCCAAGACATAGAGGACATTTAATTTGGCGAGAGAACCCACGAA